AGGGATCGGTGTTGGGACCGATCTTGTTCAAGATCTTTGTTAGTGATAAGGACAGTGGGATTGATGCGCCCTCAGCAAGCTTGCCGACAATACTAAGTTATGTGATTCGGTTGATACGCTGGAGGAAGGGATGCCATCCAGAGGGACCTTGACACACTTGAGAGATGGTCCAATGCCAACCTCAGGAAGTTCAACCAAGCCAAGTGCAAGGTCCTACACCTGGGTCGGCACAACCCCAGGCACAGCTACAGGTTGGGTGGAGAAGAGATTCAGAGCAGCCCTGTGGAGAAGGACTTGGGGGTGTTGGTCGATGAGAAACTGAACATGAGATGGCTTCAGTGTGTGCTTGCAGCCCACAAAGCCAACCGTATCCTGGGCAATAACAAAAGAAGCGTGACCAGCAGCTTAAAGGACGTGATCCTGCCACTCTACTCTGCTCTCATGAGACCCCACTTAGAATACTGTGTACAGTTCTGGTGTCCTCAACATAAAAAGGATGTGGAGCTGTTGGAGCAAGTCCAGAGGAGGGCCACGATGACGATAAGGGGGCTAGAGCACCTCCCGTATGAAGACAGGCTGAGAAAGTTGGGGCTGTTCAGCCCGGTGAAGAGAACACTCTGTGAAGACCTCAGAGCAGCCTTCCAGTATCTGAAGGGGGCCTAGAAGGATGAACTTAGGGAGAGACTCTTCGTTAGGGAGTGTAGTGGTAGGACAAGGGCTAATGAGTTTAAACTTAAACAGGGGAAGGTTAGGTTAGATATAAGGAAGACTGTGAGGGTGGTGAGGCACTGAACAGGTTGCCCAAGGATGTTGTGAATGCTCCATCCCTGGCAGTGCTCAAGGCCAGGCTGGACATAGTCTTGGATGACATGGTTTAGTGTGTGGTGTCCCTGCCCATGGAAGGGGTTGGAACTAGATGATCTTAAGGTCCTTTCCAACATAACTATTCTATGATTCAACGATTCTATGATTTGTACTGGACTACACATAAGAAATTTCTAGACTCTGCCTTGTATAAGACATGATAGCAGAATGTTCTGGGGCACCAGGATATGTTTATTACAACCCAATACAATAGAACTCAAGTGACTTTTGCTTTGGGGGTTTTTTGGGTTTGGTTTTCTTTATTTTTTTTTTTTTTAAGGTTCTTTCAGTGAAATGCAAAGATTTCACTGTGAAATCAGGCAGGCAGGAATCTCAACTCCCTGCTTAGGTCCACTGCAATCTGAATTGCAATAGGTGAAAGAAGATGAGCTCAAAAAGTAACATACCTTGTCTGGACCGTATATTTCATTTCCATCTTCTGCCCTTGCATTAAGATCTGGGGCAGAATGCAGGAGGTACTGTGTTATCTGGACCCCTTCCTCACCAGGAATTGAGGCAGCTATGTGGAGAGGAGTTAACCCCCCTAACTGAAGACACAAACATAGCATTAAGACTCCTATTTATCAGAAGCAGCACTTAAACAGTGCTAAATATTTTTTCAAAGAACAATCCAAGCTCACTCTTCCCATATGCTGTGCCTCACGAACAGCCACTAGAAATCTACAGCCCAGAGTTACAAGACTGTGGAACACTAAAGGTCCCAGACACATAGCCTGTTACAAACTTGAGGAGCAGCTTCACAAATATTCCTCAACCACTCACAAGCTTGGCAAGCAGAAAACATAAAAGTTAGAAAATACTTGGAGAGTAAGGAGCTTTGAGTTCTTTCTACTAAAAAAATAATAATAATAATAAATCTTTGAACAGGATAATCGCTTTAAACAGCTTTCTGGCCATTCTAAAGCTGATTCTGACATGCAGGATATTTTACAGTAGGGCAGTGAAGCTGCAGTACACATCTAGAATCCCACATTATGAATTATCATTCAGTAAAACCTTCGATGGAAGCCGCACGTCGGACTTGGCTCCCCTTTTTAAGAGGAGTTCCACTGCTTCTGTATCTGCAGCTTTAACAGCAAAGAACAGAAGGTGTGGTGGGGCCCAGGATGCGTTGGGATCTGCACCTCGACGAAGCAGCAGCTGGATTGTTTCCCATCTCTTCTGTCGTCTTCTGAGTTGACATGGAAAATACCAGAATAACTTATTAGCACCTTCCAAGAGAACTCTAAAAGCTAGCGGACTAAAATGACTTGCAGGTAATAGACATTAAAAATATCACTTAGCAGAGGGAAGATTTGTCAGTCTTTAGGGCCACATCACAACTGTCATACACCAACCAGGCAACAACATTATGACGCGAAAAGGAGACAGTACAGTCAGTGTATCTCAGCCCTCTAAGCTAAAGCAGTGGCATGCAAAGAGTAGTCTCTGCAGTCACGAAAAGCTGCAGCATGGAGACAGATAGAAAGCTAAGCAAGGTTCTCTGCATCTTCACCAGTCTCACAGGTGACTTGTAAAACATTTAGTCTTAGTCTTGTTTAATGAAAGAAACAGAATCCTCCTTCCTGCCATCAAAGACTGCTTGGAAGTTTCTTTCCTCAATTAAACCTCATTCACCCTCAGTCCATCCCAACAAAACAAAGATACAGCGTTTCCCTTAAACAAAAGCTGGAACAGGAGCTATGCTAGATTAGGACAGTATATACCAGGTGCCATCTGCATTTCTAGGAAGGCAAACTATCCGCACCCACACAAAAGTATCTGATACCCCAACAAAAACAAAAAACAAACAAACAAAAAAAGCAAACAGCACCTGGATTCTTGGATATCACCCAGAAATTCCATCACAAAGTGTTCTTGGGGGATACTCATCTTTTCAGGCATGGTAATAACCAAGCTTTACCCACAAGCCCTACATTCAATGGATCTCTATATTCCAATGAACAATATGCAACATGCACAATATTTCAGACAACAAGAACCGTGGGAGGTGGGAGGATGTGCCACAAAAGTAAAATGTGTAAGGGATGAAGGTCAGGCGGCCAACCATGAACTTTCAGTCTGGGGGTTTTGAGATATCAAAATGACCTACACCGTCATAAAACCCACACAAAATTTTGACATCTTTGGTGACTGCTCTGTAAGCAAAGCAAAAAGCAAAATGTGTCCCTTTCAAAGATCAACAAATGCAACAGTTGGACTATGTTTCAGTTGGCACTGCTGAACAGGCACTTGCAGAAAACAACTAGCAGTTCATATGTAGTCAAGACTTCAAGTAATAAATGAATATATTCTCCTTCCTCAGGTCTGCACTACACTGCAAGTGTCCATTGCACAGTTAGCAGCTTTTCACACTTGCTAACAAGAAAGCTTGTCTTACTCAAGCATGATGTCCTTTGCTTGAACTGCACTTTTCAACCTCAATCTTTGTCACTGCTGACACGAGTCACATTAGCATGTATAAGCACTTAGTGGTTTCTACAGGCATGAAAACAAGATTTGCCCAGTTAAACAATCAAAAAGTATCTTTCCCTGCAATGGATGCACACTTACGTGAAATACGTGAAATAATGTTACCTTCTTTTTGCAAAACCATTTATGAGAGTTGGTCTCCCATTTCTAGTGCATGAGACTTACTCTGATATTATGCCTTCAGCATCACTGACAGTATCTGAGGATTCTGATTTTTCAGTCCACTTAAAAATTTTAAAAAAAGAAAGGTTACTAAAATGAAAAAATTCTTCTTCCAATGCATGACTCAGTATACTAACACACCTGTTAGTTAAACATGTAACTCAATACAGCATATAATGATACTGAAATTTTGTTAACAACTGTTAAGGAAATAATTTAGAAGTAAATTGTAACTAAGTTTTTGCTTATTCATTTGTTTTAATCTCTTAAAATAACAGAATATTTTTCTTGTTCAATTTCAGGGGAAGCTCACGTTAGATACACGGAAGAAGTTCTTTACTGTGGGGGTGGTGAGGCACTGAAACAGGTTGCCCAAAAAAAGAAGTGGGTAAATGCTCCATCCCTGACAGTGTTCAAGGCCACGTTGGACAGAGCCTTGGGAATACGGTCTAGGGTGAGGTGTTCCTGCCCGTGGCAGGGGGGTTGGAACTGGATGATCTTAAGGTCCTTTCCACCCCTAACTATTTAATGATTCCATGGTGTTTAAAACATGTTTAGAACAGTTAAATGTTTCTTCCAGTATGCATCATCTAGCTTAAGAGAAAAAGAATTGCTGAAATAAAATGAGACACACATAGATTTTCAACCTGCATAGGCTTGCATGAGAATCTGATAGTAGGATCTACAAGGCTGATGGTTCCAAATCTGGATGCATGTTCAACTCAGAAGAAAAGTGAAAGCAATGTACATCTACCCTACCTGCAGAATCTTGCAGACTGTGATGGACACAGACGAACATCGAAACACGCCCTCTCTATTCCTAATTACCTCATAGTGCCTCCAAAATGAAAGGTAATAGCTCTACATTGATTTTCTGTGCAGTTTTCAGCAGTGGCTATCTCTCACTCCTCTTCTCCCTTTACCATAATTGCCTTGCAACTTTAGCAATGGGCCACCACATGATCATACGCTTGGAACTGGACCAGTGACTTCAGAGCAACCAAGGATTATTTGGTACTTAATTTCCAGCAAGTTTCCTCAAAGCATGGGCCACTACCTGTCTAATCTCATGTGAAAGTCCCAGCAGCACCCTTCCGTTTCTAGACTACACTGAAACGTTTCTCAGATCACACAGTTCTTGCCCAGACCTCTTTTTTAGCTGTTTTCTCATCCTGACTGCTGACTCCTGACAGCCTTGCTTTCATTTCTTTCCCATTCCCAGGTTTGTACTCTTACAAAATTTATATCCTGTTCCTACACAGGAAGTAAGAGCAGGTGTTTCTCTTTGTGGCAGAAGAAAGGTTAGGGATATGACTCTTACTTTTTGAGTACTCTCCAAGCATCAGCAGGCTTCTGACAGAACAATTGCTTTTTAATAGCCACCGCCATGATGCCAGCACGGTTACATAGTACCAGGAGAATCACCTACATCCTACTGTTCTACTTACACTTTTGTAATTCCCATTAACTCTCCCACTGCAGCTTCACTGTGTTAAACACCTAGCCAGCACAGCCTCGCATTCTGCTATTGATAGAGCGCCTTATTTCAATTGCAAAGTAAGCTTGTAACTGCGCTGGAGCATGTTCCTTCCAGTTAGGAGTTAGCAGTGAGAGTAGAGATTATTCTACATTCTCAGAGTGCAAAATCCATTAAAGCTCTCAGTTTTTCCTAGGGAGTATATATAGTAAATTTTAAAAGCAAGCTTACAGGTTGAGGAAATAATACATTATGATTCTGTTATTTTAGATCAGAAGTAAACAAACCTTGTAACTGTGCAAGCTCCTCTCAGCAATGTTACCCTTAAAAGATTCTTCTGGATAAATGAGAATAAAACACATGGAGAGAGCAGATAAACCTTCATCACTACACTTATTCACATCAGCTCCATTATCAAGAAGAAGATTGACAACATCATTATGGGAATGAACCTGCAGAGGGGAGACATCCATATTTGCACATACAGGTACACACTTCTAGTTCATGACATGGAAAGAACTGACAAAACAATTTTGAGGTAATGATGCTCTACACTGTTTATCTAATTCACATTTATATTTTCCTCAAAACAGAAGCTCAATGTCTTACAGGGTTCAGAACATAACATTTTTGGCTGATTTTTAACTACTGGGTTTCACAGGAATTCAGTGAGGATTCAATGCAGAGAGAGACCAAAAATGACTGAGATGGCTACAGCAGAAACACAGTGTTCTAAATTATCTAGTTTCTGCTTGCCATTTATGACGAATGCTGAGTACTGAGTTGGCTGAAAGGGGCATGAAGAAAAAGGTGGAGGGGAGACTGCATCCCCCTCCTACAGAAATCGGAGTTGTGCATGTATGGTTTCAGTCACCACCACTTTTCAGCAAAAACAAAACAACTCTGTGTGCATCTGATTTCAAATAGGAGAAAAAATAATAAGGGCACAGTCACATCCAAGAACATAGATCTAGGACACTGCATAATCACAACTTGAAATCAAACCTGATATTTGAAACCACTGCTAATATTTACTGAAGGGCTTCTTTTAGGTTATTTATTTACAATGGGGGTTGGCGTGATACCAGTCATTACAGACACTACTCATGCCACACTGCTTTTCTGGTTTTCCTGCTTATTGAACATTCCTTTCATACTATGTAATGAAACAAGTGGAAAATTTAATCCAGCCTACTAAAACAGGCATTTTCTCATCACATGGTAAAGAGTCATGCTTAGAATCTTACAGCTGCAGCAGCAAGTGCCGTGTATCCATGTTTGTCAGCTATGTCTGGATGAGCAAGCCCGTTCCTCAGAATTGCATAGACCCCATCATAGTCTCCTCTTGCTGCCTTCTTAATTAGCTGCTCTGAGGCAAGCTCTCTGGGGCCTGGAGGCCCATAAGCATTGCGGGCTCCACTGAGAATGAGGCTGACATCTGAAGTGAACTCCACTTGACAGCACCTAGAAAAGGAGAGAAAAGCACAGCACATTTAAGCAGCTAGGTACTCTTAGAACACTACTGCAATTAACGAAAAAGTACATCAAGAATAAATTACGCTGGTCAGCAAGATGGGAAAATAAGGCCAGCTATCATTTTAAGAGCTATTTTACAGTGTGAGCTTTCTTATATTGATGGGGTGCTGGCAGCAGCATATAGATTTTATCCAGACAAGTTAGAAGTATTTTAGTAGATGTCTGATGGATGGATAAGAAAACCAAATCTAACTACCATGTGTTTCTATAACCCATTTACCATGCACAGTCATGACATTTGTTTATGATGTAATTTTCATCATCTGCTTTAACTATGACTATAAAATACACATATGTAGCAAATAAGGAAATACTCTGTGGGCTCAAAGAGCATCTCCACATACAAGTACCAAGCTACATAAAAGCCGACATGCAGTTGGCAGTTCTACTAGCTGTAGACTTCTTTGTTACAGCATATTTTGTATAGCCTTGAAGAAGAACAAGAGTCAAGACAACCACAAAAAGTTATCAATGGCCAGATTTTCAGTACTTCTGAAAACCTGGCACTATGCTTCTCCATATTTCTATTTCTATGCAAGACTACACTCTCAGGACAGCGAAGGTCAGGACAGGTCTCTACAGCCCTTGATTCCCAACTCTTTTCAAAACTGGACTTCAGAAACTCTGACACGCTAATGAGTAATGAGACTATTTTTCTGGGTGTAACCAGGATAAACATGATGTTTAACTTAAAGGAATAAAATCTGTGAACTGAAAGATGAATATGTTATTTTCTTCTTTTTTAAAAAAAAATCCTTATTGGCAATTTGTAATCTCAAGGCCATAAAACCCCCTCTGGAGTGCAGCTTTTATCCTGCAACGTAAATTTGAAAATAATGAACTCCCATGGATACTAATTGACAAAAATCCACACATAATGAACAAATCATCAACAGTTACCTGTGCTTATAAATATGCATCTGCATTCTAACCAGTAGTGAGGTTACATTTGCAACAGGCCAAGGGTCTTCCTCAGGCAGCTTTGAGGTGTTCTGAAAATACCGAGCATCACACTCTTCCAGGAAGGAGTGAGTCAAAGTAAGATGATCCATGTTACGAGAATATGCAAAGACTCCTTCAGGTAAAATATCCTTATCATCAAAAGGGAGGTGTTTATAGCGACGAAGAAATGGGTCTTCCTCAAGTGAAACATACTCCTTCTGAGATCTGTCATCGATGTATCTGTAGTGCGCTGGATAATCCAAGACAGAAAAATAGCCAGGTACTTCAGTAGATAGTTTAATTAGATGATCTCTGAGCCACAAGCCAACGTCTTGACAGCCACCTGGATAGCTCTCAATCCCTGGTCCAAATCGCTCATCAGATTTGTACAGCCCCTTAAGAAACAAGTGAACTCATGAGTATCAGTCAGAGATCAAACAATTTGTACAATTAAAGTCTGGACTGTATTTAAACTAATCCGGCTGCTTTTGGCCTTACTGGCCCACTTCCTATTGACAGAGCAATAACTGCCAAAGACAATCTAAACAGCAAAGCCTTCATGTTCACTTTGGTCTAATTAATAGCAAATACAAATCTTCCAGCACAAGAACAGTAGAAGGCCCTAAATTTAACTACAGTAGGATGTAACGTTTAGATTAATATTCCTGATGCTTTTAAGGGCTAGGCAAGATTTTATTTTTATTCTGTGACCAATTTTAGATTGCAGCCTTTTGGTCTAGGACAGATTTTTGGTTAGATTTTACTACCTTATCAAAACAAACATTTCTGAAACACATCTGTGCAGACACAGATTCCGGAAATGACACATTTCTTTTCTTACAATGTAACTAAACTTAGGATATCTATAGCCTTGCAAGCATGACAAGACATGCCAACAGAAGAGTCTCAGTAGCAAATAGAGCACTACAGGACAGGAGTGTCAATCTTCCTATAAAAGGTACCCTAGTTTGACCTTGCCACTACGGTAGGTAAGGCACGAACATCACCAAATTTAAGCAGACTCGTGCGTATCTGGACCACACATATGGCTCAAGACAGGTTCACACTAAGGTATCACAACCTCAAAACAGCTATTTGGAGCAAAAATCAGCAACTTCATACTGAACTGTTTAGCTACAAAGACAAAGAAGTAGGAGAAAAGCACAATCTCTGGCAAAGCATAAAATTCTGAGTATGATTATGATTTGAAGGTTCTCTATTTTTCCCCTAGCTTTACATTTTACATCATATACTCAGACTAAAGCTCTCCTAAATCTGCAGTTAGTGCCACATTATCCACATTCGGCAAGAATGCTATGTTCTTGTTGATGCCTCCTCAATGTTGATTGACCCTCTCATGTTATGTTGTTTCTCTGTATGTTGTAGATTATTTGACAAATTGCAGAGATAGCCAGGGATCAGCAGGATTTTTTTTTGTTCCCCTCCACCAGGACTTTTCAGATATACCTTTTAAGAAAAAGGTATATATACCTTTTTTTAAAAAAAAAAAAAAAAGAAGGACTGCAAGCTCTTAGAAAACAAGATTTCCAGCTTCTACTAGCAACATCAGGGCTGAAAATGATGCAAAACAGACAGCCAGCTACCTGGACACTTCAGAGTGCTGTCTATCTTCACGGTTTCCTAAAATGCAGTATTTATCCAGTTTCTTACTGATGGCATCCTAATATGCCTTTTGAGAGTACTGTCTAACAAATAAGCTTTTCATCAAAGAAGGAGAATAAATACTGAAATCTTATACATTAGCTACAAGAACAGAAACTTTTTCAGGCAGCAGTGGTGAGGATGCACCTCAAATACTGTGCTCAGTTTCAGGCCTCTCACTACAAAAAAGACATTGAAGTACTGGAGCGGGTCCAGAGAATGGCAATGGCACTGGTGAAAGGCCTGGAGCAAAAGTCTGATAAGGGAACTGGGGGTGTTTAGCCTGGAGAAAAGAAGGCTCAGGGGAGACTATATCACTCTCTACAACTACCCGAAAGGAGGCTGTAGTGAGGTGGGGGTTGGTCTCTTTTCCCACGTACCAAGAGGAAATGGTCTCAAATTGCACCACAGGAGGTTTAGGCTGGAGATTAGGAAATATTTCTTCACTGAAAGGGTGGTCAGGTCTTGGAACAGGCTGCCCAGGGAAGTGGTGGAGTCATCATCCTGGAGGTATTTAAAAACACATGTAGATGTGCCACTTACGGACATGGTTTAGTGGTGGACTTGGCAGTGCTGGGTTAATGGTTGGACCTGACGATCTTAAAGGTCTTTTCCAACCCGAATGATTCTATTATCATCTTCTTCAGTATTTCCCCTTAGAAAAGTTGATTAGAGCAGAAGCTAAGCTGTTGAAATAGTGTCCTAACTCATGGGAGATCAAAGCATGACAGTTTTGCCCTGAAGAACTACTACTTGAAAAACAAACAAACAAACAAAAAAAAACCAACCAAACAAACCAAAACACTGCTGACTTTGAAAGGCACAAGAATCACTGTATTAGCACAGCATTTTTCCAGTTACCTGAAATTTTCTGCCATCCTTCCATTCCAGGGTTCCATAGCCTTCCACACGGCCAAGATAAAGAGCTCCTGTGAATTTGGAACCATCAGGCCAGTAGTAAATCCCCTTTCCATGGCGGTGGCCCATGTACAACTTTCCCACATATCTCTGTAATCCACAAAAGAGGACAAGACAAGAATGATTCAACTGACAGGACAAAAATAAGTGAAATTGCGTTCTTACTGCAACAGAGCAAGACTAACAAGATGCAGGCAACTGCCACATGAAGAGGATGAATCTGTTACACAGTTAAGAAAGACTGGGCACAGTCTCAACTTCACTTTAGTTGTGGGCTTCAAAGTTCAGCCAGGATTTGACCAATTTCTCTAGAAGCTCTTCCATCACATAGCAATCAGTAGCTCATACTACTTCAGCAGATGTATCTCAGTGTTCATATCCTCATTGCTAAATGACACAGGATAAACCAACATTTATTCCATCATTCAACAGCTGTCATAAAGACCTGTATGCCAATATACCTTTAGCATCCCACGTTCAAAACAGAAGGTAAAAGTCTTCAACTGTCAGATGCATGTGAAGTGACTGGATTATTAAACCTTTACACACCATTTGCTTTAAAAGTGCTCCAAAACTGTCACTTTTATCCTTCAGTAGAAAGCACTGATAAAATTTTGTACCATAGGTAAACGAAGTGCTGGATTGTATGAAAGTGGCAGATGCTCAGTAAAAAGGCCTGTCCTTAAACTCCTCTCTTCAGTGAAGAAAGCCTTAGCTACCAACCTGCTCATCTGACTTCCTGACTGAAATTTGATCGTCACTGGTTTCAGTCACACACACTTCAAGGTGTTCACTATTTTGAAGCAAAACCAGACATTTGGAAAATATTTTATATAAATAAATCAGAAATTATTAAAAGCAAAAAAAAACAAATAAAAATCTCAATTTCACACTTCTTCCGGTGCATTAATCATAAAGTTTGCAGCCCTGCCATAGTCCTGGCATTTAGAGGCATAAAAGGAGTGACTGTCCCTGGCTTAACACAAAAGAACATTATGGTGCTAATAGCAACAGCATTCACAGCAACCATTTACCGTTTTCTCTGGGACCGAGGACAGACTCAGTGGTCTAAGTGAGAGAGCAGAGGGTGTTACATGAAAACGCGGAGCTCAGTTTTTATTTTCACAGCTGACATGTTACCAACCCAGACACGGAGTGACAGGAACATCGGGAAGAGAGCAGTGAGGGCTGATTCAACTGGTGAACGTGCTATCAGACTTCACGCGGACGCTGTGAAGATCTTGCCTTACTCAGAATAAGCTAAAACTGCCTAGTTTGGCACCAGTACAGGGCGAGCAGGAAGAGGAA